GGCGGGTGGGTGGGTGGGCGGGCGTGAGGGGAGGAGAGCGGAAGGCAGGGGAGGCATGACTTATGTGATTTGCCCAGGAACTCAGACTCACTGCGAACAGGTAGTGAGTCGCTCTTTTTTCAGCCAACCCCCACCTCTCACTGTCTGTTTCTTGAACGGGCGGTAGCGCGAGCAGCCCCTCTCTTGTCCCCTCTTGTTCGCCGCTACCGTGCTACGCCATTGTTTGTACTCGACAGTCACAGAGCCACTCAGACAGGACAGAGAGGAGCCTTTCGTACATGTGTGTGTGTATGTCAGGTCAACGGCTGGTTCCGCTCTGGCAGCGACCTCTGGATGGACGGATACCGGCAGCGCGCCAGTCAGCCGTACCAGATACAGCTACTGCCCACCATTGTCCGCTGTCGAGCCGTCTACTACATCCCGGGGCCGTACACGATGCTCCAATATTGCGACGCTCAGTGGCATCCATTTAACCGATTCATTGCCTGTCGTCTCGTCTGAATGCTTCAGCACATACGTATCGATCCTGCATCTTAAGAGTCCTTCGGATCGAGACGTTCAGTGTTCCGTTCGCATGTTCCCCTCCCCGTCTCTCTTCCCTTTTCCCTTTGCCCATCTCTCCTCTCCTGCAAAAATGAAAAAAAAAAACACACACACACACAGAACAACACAAAAGAAAAGAAAAGAGACCGATGTCGTGACGCATCCATCCATCCGTTGGAGGACAATTCACTGAGTGAGACGCAGCCAGCCAGGAAAACCTCTCTCTCTCTCTCTCTCTGTGTCTCTGTCTCTTTTACAGTCTGTCTGTGTATATATATATATGTGTGTGTGTATCTGTGGACATACACCCTTGCTGAAGCATACACCTCACAAGGAGCTAGCCTACGAATTGAATATCTTGACTTGCTTCTTGATGTTCGCCATGATCTCTGGTCTCCGCCCACATAAAGTTATTTCTTGTACTCCGCCATGATCCCTCTGATTCTCTGCATGTCCCACGGCGTCTTTCCCTGTTGTCATGAGATGAGATGAGCACATCACTCAACCATCGATGGTGTGAATGTCTGTGTGTACTCACGTCGTTGTCTGGGATGTCGAGCAGATCACCTTTGCCCCACTCGAGCCTTTGAGAATGACACAGAGACAGAGACAGAATGGAAGAGACACTCGCGTCAGTCAGTCATCTGTGTCGCTCACAGCTGAGACACAGTTGCAGAGTGTCCATTGGATGCAGCCCAATGGAGTGCCGTCCAGTTGTCCTGTGTGTGTCATGCAAACAGGCAAAGGCAATCAATCAGATGAGAGGCATTCTGTGTTTCGCGCGTGAGGTCTCACCTTGTTTGTCTGAGTGAGCAGCCTTTTCCCTCCCTTGGCATACAGAGCCTTCAGCACATGGACACGACCATTGAAGGCAGCAATGATGAATGGCGTTTCGCCATCCTGCAATCAACACACACACACACACTCGGCACACTGAGGTGTCAGAGACATGTGTGTGCTCTGTTACCTCGTTGCGAGTATCGATCAGTTCGGCATCCCACTCCAGCAGCTGATTGACCGCCGCAGGACGGCCCCCCCCCGGCAGCCCAGTGCAGAGCATTCTCACCAAACTGCATTCCATCACAGCCAACACACATCTTCCCTGGTGACTACCAGCACACAGGATGGTTTGTCTGTGTCGGTACCGCGTCTGTTGTTTGCTGCAGTACGTCAGGTTTGCTCTCATGGATGACTTTCATGACGTCGACGTGACCGTAAAGCGCAGCCAGGAGGAAGGGTGTGAGCTGCGCGCATTGATGAGAACACACAGCCAGACCACTGAGTGCATTTCTGTCGTCTTTCGCGATTGCACACCTCGTACTCGTCTCGTTTATCGAGTATGTCTTCTCCCTCCTCAGCGATGAGCGAACCAACGAGGAGCGAATCTCCGGTCCTGACAGCTTTGAAGATGTCATTCTGACACACAAGCAGCACAAGAACAGCGAACCATTGACGTGTGGGGTTCAGCTGCTGTCGCCCTTACGTGTTTGATCAGAGGTTGCGGGAGTATTTGCTGAGCCTGGTGGAGGACGTTGTGGGCCAGGAGGGCGAGGTTGTTGGCGGCCGACGTGGTGCGGTCAAGCTGCTCCTGCAGCTGCACGAGGGACAGTTCGGCAGACGTCCCTGCATTGCAACAGTGCACCCCCCCACAGACACACGCACATATGATCGCATGGCGCACGTATTCCTCGTTGATGGACACACATGGACGCACCGGCAGACCAGAATGAATGCGCATGCAGGACGGACTTACTCTGCTCACGGGTGCCATTGGCGGTGACGAGGAGTTCTACGAGGATGGTCAGTGCGACCAGAAAAAACGTCTTGTGCCGATGGCACGCCCATGCACGCATGGACGGACTTGCGGGCGCGATTGACGAGGTGGATGCGTTGGGGTTCAGAGTGAAACACATCATTCTGATGAGTGAAGGGACCACACGAGTCTCGTTAAACACACTAACCAACCAGACGCCTATCTACGAGCATCATTCTCGTTCCTGACCAACTGCCTGACCCACCACAGGCAAGCTGTCCATCCTTCCCACACACATGCACACGTGTACACACTCACTCTCTGCTATACGTATCTCAGGTTGCCCCTATGCTCTTAGCGCGACGTCGCGCAGAGAGGATCTTCCCTCCTATCCATCAGACTCGGCTTGCAGCCCATCGTCATCGCACCGCTGCCAATCAAACTATCAACAACTCCTGTCACACGGCGTCCAATGGCGTTGTTGGCGCCTCTTCTTCTCTTCTCTCTGACAAAATTGAGAGCCGCCGTTGTGCATCCCGCACGCATGGATCTGGCTTTATTCGGCACACCTGTTGGCAACATCAGACCGACGTCAAGACGCACACTGCGGAGAGCCGCAAAAAAGGTGTGGACACGAGGACACGCAATAAGGAAAGGTTGGATGACACACGCGACTGTCTGTCTGCTTTCGCCTCAGCGTGACAGTTTGGTGGCGATGCAGAAGGAATCCGACACTCGAACGAAGGGCAAAAGTGAGCACAAAACACGGACGTCGCCCCGCATCTGTATTGGGTGCTCATTGGGGTGCCTTTCCATAGAACTCCTACAAGTAGCACGTACCCCAGAGAAAGCCTTCAGCCTACCTGTTGCTATCGTGCACATATGTACTGATATCAAGAACTTCATTCTGAATGGCATCAGAGGGGCAACGAGGTGGGGATGGTTAAGAGCAGCGGGTGGGTGCCATGGATTGCACCTCACTCGTCAATATGTTTGCCATCCAGGTGGACACCGCATAGCGTGGGCTCTTTCATGAGGATGCAGCAGAAAGCGACGGCGGAGCCTCCGGCCGTTCCTGTGCCGCCGCCACGGTCGATGGAGGAGCGTTCACTGAGCAGCCCTGCTAGCGTGCGACCAGGTACAATGGAAGCCTGATACAGATAAGTGCCAGTAGAAATGCGTGTGCGTGTCTGTCGTTGGCTTGGTTCAGGCACGCCGATTGGCAATGTGTATGCGCCAGGTGAGGCTGAAGAGCGATTGGGCATCGCCCCGCTGCCACGAATCACACTTACACCTGAGCTGGTTGCCGGGCGCGAGGCACTCTGGAGAAACCTTGGCAGAGAGTACGTCACGTCAGATCACTCACCAGCCCACACATATGCAGACCCACACCACACCTTGCGTACGTACGCTATGCCGCGTCGTCAGGTATACTTTGGCCGACATAAAGCAAAGCAACATCCTCACGTTAGGGTACTATGTTTGGCCGTTGCTCTACGAGATGGTCACGCGGACTGACTGGCGCATCTGCGTTATTCCCTATGACCAAAACAACAAGGCTCTCTCGATGTCATTCATCGTGTCCAAGGACGCCGGGCTCCCGCTGGGAGATCAATATGGAAGGGCCCTGTGGGTGCTGGTCGGCGATGATCTCAAGGAGGCCAAGCATGATGACGCGCTCAAGATGCGACTCGAGAAGCAGGCACTCAGATACGGCTGCACCGTGGACAATTTTGGAGACTGGGATTTCTACAAGTACAACTTCGAAGAGAGCGACTCACTGGAGCACATCACGAAGATCCGCGGGGACGACAGCCACCTCCAAGAGATAGTCGACTTCATTGTTGAGCTGCTGCACAGAGATGACATGGGAATTCCGGTTCCACGTTGGGACTATCTCGATGGCATCAAACGAATCATGGCCATGAATGCAGGTAACAGACAGACAGATAGACATGTTCACCCACACGAGTGCATCTTTATACATCTACAGGTGAAGGTGTGGAGGAATGAGTGCATCGGAAGTGTGGCTGGCACGTTCGATGACTGCAGTGCAGGAAGCGAACTTCAGTGCAGGAAGCCAATGCAAGGCTATGGGTCTTCCTGCCATGGCTGGGAAGACAGTCAGGCGTATAAGTCAGGCATATACATGATTGTCTGTTTTTGGTCGCCATTCTTTAACCTGATGACTCAATTCGGCTTGAAAATCATGCAGCAAACGCAGTGCGAGAATGTCATCCCAGCCATATCTCACAAGAAGACGATGGAGCAAAGAAGTCAGCCACTGGAAGACTCGTCATGAGAAAACGCCAGTAAAGTTGAGTCTTCCAGCTCAGCGAGAACGCGTTGCATATCTGACACATTCTGAATCTTCAACGATTCGCCATCTTGCACAAAACGGTACAGTGGCAGTATCTCATCGCCTGGCTCGTACACCTGCTTCATGTCTTGTGTTTGTTCCAAGCGCTCTAGCGAGTACGAGTACCTTGCCCATTTCCAACCGTTTGAAAGCGCCCGTTGTGGGATGTTCTCGTCTTCAAGGGTCAGCAAGTATGAGCAGAGCTGCATTCGCCGGGACGACGAGCACCTTTTTCTTGCCCTTGTCGGTCGTGAACTCGACAGTGTCGCCCGTCTCCTCGTCGGGACACGTGTACACACTCACTCTCTGCTATACGTATCTCAGATTGCCCCTATGCTCTTAGCGTGGTGTCTTCGTGCCATATCTGATCGGTGACCAGAACCATTAGATTGGTAAAGACCAAGGTCATCATTTCCGTCATCGACCACCTGCGTGGACCCACAAAGGCACACAAGGAGAAAAGATCAAAGATGACAAAAATGACGCTATGTGTGTCTCTCATAGCCGGATTTGGTTCGAGAGGGCGCGCACATACCAGGGGCTGATTTCCATTGAGGCGAATGCTGACTGCATGCTGGCAGCTTGAGCAAGGGAAGAGGCCGACCTGCTGAAGGTCTCGCGCATGGAGAGCACTGTCGTGGTGATTCTTCTGCTTCGACATGTCAAAGAACCATCTCCACTTCCCTTGCTGGAGGCCGCTTTCCCATGCTCATGATTGGTCTTCGCCGTGTCTTTCCATGTCTCCTCTAACACTGCCTCTCTCGTACATCGACCAGATTTGAGAAGTCGATAAAATGTATGCAGAGTCCCTGCATCGCAAATCGCAGCACAGGTAGAGAGATAAGTGGATAGATTCCCATATATGCTGTAGGAAGACATACCGTGAGGAAGAAGTATGTCGGTAATGAGATCAAAGCTAAGGCAGAGAAACCACATGTAAAGACACATTTGTGCTGGTTTTGTGGCTTCCAAGAAACGCAGCTTACAATGCGATGGCCACCGAGTAGAGAAGTTCACTGCTTAGGCTCACCATCTCTGCTTGTATGAGTCTAGGTGAGAGTAGGTAGGGCACCGCAGTCCACACAACCACAAGCGAGCTCCAAACCGGTGGACCCTCCTAGAAAATGGACACACCTAGAAATAGATCAATCTACAAGCACATTCGTACTCGTAGGGATCTTATGATCTTGTTAAGCACACATACAACTGGCCAACCAGCGACGACAGTCTGCAGAGCAATTTGAGCCTGGCAGGGGAAACACAAACATAAATGTCCATGTGTAAGGCATGTCTAGGTGCAGTGGTGGAACGAATGTGTCATATATCTTTCCTTACTCGCGTACCCTGGCATAGTCGTCTCTAGCTTTGCTGCCTCGAGGCATGAAGTGTCTCATCGACAAAAACCTTAACGCCATTTGGCCGATTGAAACTACTGTTCCCAACTTCATCGCATAAGCGCGTTTCTTCGCAACATTTAATAACTTTCATAAGCAGGTAAAAATGTATGCTCCCAAAGCAGGGAGCCACCGCAGGTGGTAAATCACAGCCTCTATTATATACAGCACCAACGTCATGGCAACCAACAGCCAGCACTTGCGCAGCAGAGACATGTTGCGCCGAAAGCTAGCTCCTTCGACTGCAGCAAGCGTCGCTGCAAGAAACCAACAACACCAAAGCACACCCAATAGAAAGCACCAGCCGACGAATCACGTCAACTGCTGCAGCGCCCATTATCCTCGACTCACAGCTGAACCAATACATAAGTAGTGTGCTGATTGCTAGAGCTGACACACATAAAGCGGCCGCCAGCTGCCGTAGCATCATCTTGCCAATCCGCTGCATGGTCGACCACAGAGGCTCGGGATTGAAGTGGGTACCAACGACCACCTCTCTTGTGCTGCCGTCGGGGCCACGAACGATCTTATACTCTAACGTGGTCGGAAACTCCTCGAAGTTAGCTTCGTATCCGGCAGCATTTCTGAACCTGCAGTGAGACAATCACATGCACTCGTAGAGTTGGCCGTCTTGTGATATGTCCCCTCACGTACTCAACCACTGAGGCAGCTATCGCCTTCTCCTCGCGACCATGCGTGACGTCAGGGGCGCCCTCTCCACCGCCCTCTGAAGCGAAACATCCCTTGCTGTAGTCGTCAATGGCAATCGCCGTTGTCGTGTGTGCTGTGGAAGTGGAGAGCATGGACCGATAGGGCGGAATGCGCTCATGGGCCTGCTCTGCTGCCGTCGGGACGCACTCCTCAGCTGCCCCCTTATCTATGCTCCGAATCGGTGTCATTCTCCTCCCCCAAAGCTTCCATTGTTTCCTGCTGTGGGAATCTGATGTCGCTGCCCTCTTCTCCAGATGGATCCATGGCATCGCCAGCCGATGGTGAGAGTGTCGCAGTTCCACGACGGGCGATTTCCCTTCTTGCGAGCTTACCCCCTTCCTTTTAGGGTTTGGGTTGTGGGTTGCCTGAGCGCAGGCTGTCCAGATCTCTCCACTCCCAGCAGTATCGCATCCCGCGGGATGATCCCACTGCCTTGACCAACCAAGGAAGATGTGCCACGTGTGCGAGCGCCTGCGTGCCTTCGACGAGGCCGAGGCGAACCGCCGGACGACGCGCTTCGGCTCCCTGAATCTGTGGAATCTGTGGAAGCACCTCCTGCCCTCCCTGAAGCTCCTTCTCCCTGTGTTGGCGCTGGGGTGTGCTGCGGGCGGCCTTGTGGCGGCCCTGTTCATCCCTGGCTCGACCCTCATGCTTGTCGGCGTCTATTTGGCGCTCGATGTGCGGGCGTACCTGCGATTCCGCCAGCGGCGGAGAGATCTGCAGGAGATGGAGCACTACCGCTCCCCCCACCTGGACGAACACTTCAGGCCGTACCTGGAGAAGCAACTGCTCGACCAGCCGCCTGAGGACCTCTACAGGTGCGCCGACTCGACTCACGGTGCCGTCTTGTGCTAGGTCTTCCTTCATGCCTTCTCTCGCTCTGGGTGTGTGTGCAGTTTTCTCTTCTACGCGTTTTTTGGCCAAGCGCCGGAGACCATATCGGTGC